CTTTCCCTCTGTGGATGGATTCAAACTGTTAGGACCCATTCAAAAATCGTAAGATTTTTAAGTGCCAAAAAACTAAACTCTCAAAACCACATGGCAAAAATGAAAGGGGCCAAAAGCCAGGACAGTAGCAAGTGTCTTTCATGCAAGGGATCTCCTTCTTCAGCTGGGGTAAATCAACTTCAAGGATTTCAATGAAGCTAGGCCAATTCACTCTAACAGTAGGATGCAGCCTTGGCTTGCCTTTTAATATCAAGCTTCAACATCCTCATGCTGCAAACAGACCCAAATCCCTTGCTTTGTATTTCATCCATAATAAATAGTAACAGTATAATGTACAGCACAGAACAGCTGCTATAGGTTAGCAGCATATTTAATAATCCATTTGAGAGTTTAAACTCCTGCTTATACATATTGTTCTCTTTGATGGCAATTAGATGAAGAGAATCAGTTTTCATTTGCTATATTTAGCTCAAGAGAGAGCTTGACACTGACAGCCTAATGTTTTCCTAAGTTTAGGCTGTAACTATGCTTCTGTTAGTAAACATAAAGGCAATTTAGGCTTTCAAATTCTTCCCAATAAGTAAAGCCAAAACATGCATGCTGCTAAAACGACAAGCTACACAGAACGCAGCATCTGAACAGTCGAAAGAGAACTTGCAAATGCCATTCAGGTTCAGCTCAAGAGCGCAAAAATAACAAAACAGGAGACACGACAGGAAGCTGGGGAGATTCGGAGGCCTCTCTCTCCTTTTCAGGACACACCAGCATAGTGATACTAACATTGCTTTCTCTTGTCCCGCAAGAGAGGCACGGCACATAGCCGCACAAAGTGTTATTTTGCTGGCAGAGCTTAAAATTAGACCCTCCCGAAGAGCGCCCAGCAGTTGTAGCGGAAGGATTACGTTGCCCAGTTCGACGGCCGCCAGCAGTCAGCGCCAAGCCGAAGCACCGGAGCAGAAAACCACCACGTCCCTGCTGACGTACTTACGCCAGGGAGGCTTTGAAGCCTGGCTCAAGCCTCGCGCGCAGCACCAGCTAATAGCATCGCTACCTCTAGCGTCGCC